GATAGTTTCGAAGGTATTGAACTAAGCCTAGAAAATCCTTACGGGAATGTGGGGGCTACTCGGGATCCTGAGTAACCTGTTGGTTAAACGCTTCCATGACTTTGAATGTAACTAGTCCTAACCAGTGTGGAGGCGGGGGGCCTCGCTTGGAGTTCTTCTGCAGGCCCACCCTATCTTTATACCCTGGAGAGAAGATGACATGATATAACGGGTCGACTGGAGGAGTAGCCAAACAGTCAGTCAATTGTTTGAATTGCAATGACAGGACTGATTGTGAAGGTAGTATCGGTCTTCCAGCTCTTTCCCAGACATTACGGTTTTGATTCTGGAGTAGTACGACGCTTTGACCCCGACTGCTCTGCGTAGGTACCTGTAGAACCAGGAATCAATTTTTGCAAAGTGTTTATCCTCCATGGTGAGCGATGATAATCCGTAAGTCAGAACTGGGACTACGTTGGATTGAAAGGTTCTGACTTTAACAGCGTTGGGGACTCTACTGCGCCAGAAGGGGGATAGCTTGGTGAAGGCTACGTGGGCTAAGTTAATTCTGTGTTGGATAGCTGTTAACGTGGGCTTTTCCCATGAAACCTGGGACCCCAAATACTTGCACTCGGCGGCGCTTGGAACAGTCGAGCCATCCGCGAACTCGAGAGGAGTAGCCGGTGTTTTTGGGTGTGTTAAGTGTTCTGTCTTCGTTAGGTTTAATGTCAATCCAAGGAACTTGTTTAGGGTTTTAGGGTTTAGGGTTTCGGGTTTCGGGTTTAAGGTTTAGGGTGTAGGGTTTCAGGGTTTAGGAACGTAATTTAAGTTACCATTCTATGGGGACATCGTGAATAATGGGGGTATCCTTAATATTGTAACCCTAAACCCTAATCCCTGAACCCTATATACCCCTGCTTAATGGTAACTTATAGTCCCCGTAAGTAGATAGAACATAAGATCCCCATATACCCCATATGCTATCTACTTAAGGGGGACTATATAGTATTCTAATTCAAGCTTCTTAACAGCAACCCAGGAGCGATCCATGAGCTCCTCCTGGGAAAGATCAATGCATAAACTGGGAACCAGCTCAGCTAGTAATTTCCTGTTATCATTGCGGTTTTTATTATTCCTATAAGTCCTATCAATATTACTACTTTCTTTTGTTGTCACTATTAATTTGTAACTAGTAGTATGTTTACAAATATTTGTACCATTATAACTAGTCTTATTGGTATAATTACGCTTATTATTACTTTTGACATCATTATCACTATTATTACTGCTAGTACTATGACTACTATTCTTACTACTATTATTACTTTTCTCACTAGTATTTTTGAAATTCCCATTACTAATATTATTACTGCGCTTATTACTATTATCACTAGTATTTTTGTTGTTATTGATAAACACTAGAAGCTAGCTTGTCTTGCTTTGGCGGCGTGCCTTCGAAAGGTCCGAGGGCCAGTCCTCTTCTGGGTCAAAGACATTCGTGAAAATGACAGGCTTGTCTAGATGCTTCACCTGAGGCACGGGGCACGGGCTTAGGATTTCTTAGGGCTTACGGTTTAGGGTCTAAACTCCTAGGATCCCCCTTAAAACCCCATACCGTTCTCCCCTACATAATCACCTATAGAACCCACCCTAAGGACTTTAGACCCTAAACTCTAAGCCCTTAAATCCTAAACCCTATACCCTAAATCCTAAACCCTAAATCCAAAACCCTAAATCCAAAACCCTAAACCGCTTATAATCCCCTTTATAAACCCCCTTTGAGGAGCTGCACCTCGGCTTTAGAGGCCTTCTGAGCGTCAATCCTTTGAAGTGGGCACCGATCCGTTGAAACCGCAGGCGCAACGTCATCAGCCACCATCTTGTAATCACCTGGCTTTGCTGTTAAGGAACTCAAGTTTAAGTTACTATTTTGGGCGCGTAGAATATAGGGTTTGGGGTATATTATCCCCCTATAATGGAGAATCAAATGGAAACCAAAATGGAAAATGAAATGGAAACTGGGCGAGTATAAGGATTCAAGGAACTTAATTTAACGTACTGCATTGGGGAAACCATATTCAGTACTACATATACCCAGTACAGTAACTTAGCTTATGTTCCTGAACAGCAGCCCAGTCACGGAGTTGTTGATCCCACGCAATATGATCCAGTGGGTCCGAGGCTTTCGCTGCATGTTGCTGGAGCACAGCTGCATGCTTGCGGGAACCTGAGGTGACTGAGCCTGCTAGCATGTCCTTCAGCGGAGGTCGACTCACCCGCTTCCTGGATAGAAGGCACTGGCCATCATTCTCCTGGGTTGCTCTTAAGGAACTTAACTTAATTCAGTATAGTAAGGAAGCTCCATAATTTTCGATATGCCCACAATATGGTAACTTCAGTTAAGTCTCTTCAGGTATTCCCTGGGCTGCGTGGCCAGGCATCACGAGAACGCCCAGCATCATCACCCATGCTGACCACATGGCTCCGAAGTAAAGAACGGTTCAGTACCCGGGTTGGCTACAAATGCCCCAGGAAGTACGCCGAGCCAACTGGGCCTGCAGAGTGGTAGGAACAAGAATAGCAAAAAATTATCAGAAGTGGAGTTGTAACAATCATAATTACTACTTATCATCGTCGTAGTAATAACGATAATAGTACAAGTGATACATAATAGTAGTAATCGCTGTAATGAATAAGAATGATAAATATACTTATGACTTTCTGCTAGCTGTTGGAAGGATGAATCGTGTCCAACATAGGTGCCAGGAACGAGAAGACGCGGCATGCTCAAAGCAACAAGGCGCGGAGCTACCTTTAGCCCTGTCATGCCGTTGACCTCAGCGACGTAATCCCCTGGCTTCACCTGCTGCCGAGACAACATGTTCTCTACGTATCGCATCTCCAGCATCAAGCTATGCTCTGCTGCTCAAATCAGATTTGTAGTGTAATCTGACTGTCATGTGCGAGTTTCGGAAGTGCACTAAAGCTTCCTTCCCCGCCTGGGCAAATGAATACTCCTGGTTCCAGACGGCAAGCACACCACCAAAGGCCTCGTTGCTGCTGGCATTGTACTGGAAAGACTCAAGCAGCACTCCGTCACAGAATGCGCGGTATTACCCTCAACATTGTTGCCAGCTCGCACCCTGCAGATAAGCAAAACTTTCGCTCTGCACAAACCGGAATATTCATACCCGCTGCATGGGGACTAGCAGCGGCTACTGCTGCTGCACGGAGTCACTTGCTGGTGGTCAGATGGGAACATTATCCCTATATGATCCCTGTATAATATATGCCCGCTTTCCCTACTAACCACCGTAAGTTCAAAGAGCTTCAGGATCTGCACTGCCAAGCCCTAAGCAATGGCGCGGATGACGAGCAGGTCTGGCCTGGGCACAGGTCATAAAGGGGTTTAGGGTTTTGGGTTTTGGGGTTTCCGGTTCAGGGTTTAGGGTAATCTTATAATCTGTTGCAACATATTGTGGTGTTGTATAGAACAGTATAGTATATCACAATAGATGCTAAACAGGCCAAGCCGTCTTGTGCGATTCCCCTTTTATGCCCCAATATACTACTGCTCAGGATACCCCAACATGCTACAGCTTCTGTTCTGGGGACCCTGAACTGAAACTCTTCATGCTGAACCCTAGCCCTAAACCCAAAACCCGAAACTCTTAATCCTAAACCCTAAACCCTGAACCCTAAATGCTAAAACCTGAACCCTAAATCCTAAATCCTAAATCGTCAAGGCTTTTTGTGATTGATACTCTTCATGCTGAGTTGTGAGACGCAGCTTCGCAGGATGCCTTCGGCAAACAGCTCTAGCCCAAGGATCCAAGCTACGCTGAGGATCCGCTCCTTGGAGGGTCAGGGGGACTTAGTAAGTAGCTTGGTAATGGGGATAGCTGGGGTGATTATTTGGCATAGAGGTTGTTAGTACAAGTATACTTAGACTTTTCAAAGTCTCCCTGAAGCTCCAAGTTCTACCTACAAATTAGGAGCAAAGCTCCGGCAGAGCCATAGATTCTTGCAGAACTTGCATGGCCCCCAGAGGGCTCCGCATTCTCTAGTCCTAGTGGCCTTGCCTGGCCCGACCACACACGGAATCTTTGAGTCTCTGGAGAGCTGTCACAGCTCTAGACTGGTCCAGAGTGGTCTTGCAATTACAACCCTTACAAGCCCGAAGCTGCGAGCACAAAGAATCTGCACATGTGAGCCATAGTCTGAACTCCTTGTATCCCCTATAAAAGTCCCCTATATCGTGCATTATATACCCCTTTTAAGGAGTTTAGAATTTTAGACTGTGGCTCATCTGTGAGCGCTAGGGGCTACACTGCAATGATGCACCTCAAAACTTGGGCATGGAGACTCTGGAGCTATTCGGCCACATGCCTGACACGCGTATTTGGGCGGCTGTCAAAATTATGATCCCTTTTTTTGGATACCCTAAATATAAATAAGACGTGCCATATTATATTTGAGATCCAAAACGGGAGCATAATTTTGACAACCACCCATATGTATGAATTATTTCCGAATTAAGCGGCACTCTGCCCTTCCAGGAAGGGATCAAGCAGATGCTACGCTGCGCATGCTGTCCTGCTCTGTGGGACTGCGCCACTTTCTTTCCAGAGCATTCACTTGCTTCGGGCAAACGGCCACGATGAAGCCAAAGCCGCTTGCTCCTAGTCAGTTCAGTTCAGTCATGAAACACGGAAATGGTAACAGCTTGCAAGGTCTGTCCGTCTCTGGCAGTTAGCATGGGAGTAAAAGACTGTAATCCCCGTATAATCATATGATACATTCCCTGATTTCCTGCTAACCAGCTTGAGTGCTGAATGCGCTGATCTGCGGGCCTTAACCCCCTCAGCTCGGATTGAACTCCTCCATCTTTGTCAGGAGCTTTTCAGCCTCAGAACCAGGTGCGAATCCAGAGGTCCTCTTTGCCTTGCACAACTCAGGATGCTGCATAGTTTGGAGAGTAGTACTGGACTATCTCCGGAGGATACAACATGTTGATGGAGTCGATGAAGTCCTTGGCAAGGTCTTCCCAATGGCCCTAAATCTAGACCCTAAACCCTACACCCCTACACCCTAATTGAACCCTAACTGCTAATGTTAGCTTCGCGAACTGAAGAAGCCACGCTTCTGACACCTACCTGGCATTGGCAGATACCATCAACTGAAAGCCGTATAATGCCGCATGTCTCTATGGCCGGACGGATAGCCCGCGTATGGGTTCAGGGTTTAAGGTTTAGGGGGCATACATTCATTCTGCTAACCTGTAACAGGGCGGCATCTTTAAATTGCAGTCAAAGTTCCTGCAGCTTTGACCCTGCCTCAGCACCAACCTGGCAAAAGCATGCCAGCTCGACCAACATGACTTTGAATGAGTTCCGTTTTATTTCCCATTCCCTTCTACAGTCCCTATGCAATCCCTACCTTATCCTTTAAACCCCTTTCAGATCTCTACATGACGTGTTAATCGGCACCGCCGGCATGGCTTCCATTGCCGATGGGGTCCCTAGACCCTAAACCTTTCAGCATTAAACCCGTTCATCTTCGTTCGTCAGGTTGGTGCCCAAATCTCGTCCAGACATCCCGAACCTTCTGAAAAATCTGCCACGGGAATCTAGAGTTTCATGTCTTTATAAAGGTTATGTAGGGATTAGCAGGGATTAAAATTAATGTCCATTTGAATATGTTCAGATCAGCCTCTGGAATGATGGAATCTGCAGGGTTTAGGGTTTAGGGTCTCTCTGCAAGATGTTGACAGCCCTAGGTTGAGATTCCTTTTTAGAGTGCTGTGAAGATTCACTGCAAGAAACGGACTAAATTTTGTAACACAAGAAGCAAACTCCCAAGAACTTCTGACAAGGGCACATGGACTAGTTCCGGAAAAACGCTCCAAAGCCCAGAGAATATTGCACAAACTCTTATGGGATCAGGTGCTATAGGTTTTTTATCAGACCTTTTCTCCTAGGCAATCCCACGAGAATATCTTTAGAATACTGTACCTAGGGTTTAGGGTTTAGGGTTTGGGGTTAAGGGCAAAATAAAGCACAAACACGGCCTGACTAGAGCTCATTTCAACCTTGTTTGGGGAATGGGGGGTAAGTTCTCTGCAAGACAGATTTGGTTTGGATCATTCCCCCTTACAGAAACTATCGTTAAAGAACTCAATTCAGGGGCCATTATAACTCCTTGAATTTCTTGTGGCAAGTGTTACTGTAAGGGGGAAACAACAAAGACTTGGCGAACCGACCCGTGGCCTCCTGCACCTTTTGCAAGCTGCCAGATTGGACAAAAGCACGCCGCGCATCGATATCATTTGGCAGTACTTTGGCGAACTGTTGGATCACGTACCTTGGCTCAGGGATGGCTTCAGGTTTTGGGGTTAGGGCACAGCACAGCAGGAGCCCAGGGCAACAATGGAGAATCAAATGGACCAGAAAATTTAGTATGAGGGTTTCTACCGGGACTCATAAGGTCTTCGACAAAGCTGCCTTCATGTAAGCAGCATTATGGAAGCCTCCCTGCTCCAGACTGACAGAGATTGACAAAGATTAGCTTGTGGCAGGAAGGTTCAGGGAGTCTTTCTTCGTACCCTTAGGGTGTGTACCCTGGGGTTTGGATCCCTGAGCCATGGAAGAAAGCGCCGAATGAAGGTATTCTGGACTCAAACCCAAAGTAACCCAAGCTACAATTTTTAAGTCTGAAAAGGTGCTTCAAGATGTTGGGCGGAGAATCGATGAGCGGCTCCAACGCTGGCAGGTGAGTGCACTTCTGGATGATGCTCTTCCTTCAGTGGCACAGCCGGGCAGTGCTGCTTCTGAACAAAACGTGCCAAGCGTAGTGCCACCAAGTATAGCTTCTGGCAATTGATCAAACCCCTGAGTTTGCCGCGCGAAGGAACTGCTGCATGTTCAGTTTTTCATGGCTTCGTTCTAGACTTTGGCAAGGAAAGATCACCGAAGTCTCTGAAACAGGCAAGAAACAGGCAAAACCCATATTTCACCATAGCTAAGCTGCTGCGCCGAGGAACAGCAGCGCCGGGCAATATTTGGGGGCAAGGGGAGGTTCCGGATTATAGCGTTTTAGGTCTGTTGAGGTCCCAATTCCAAGGAGTCTGCCATGATTAGGTAAGGAATTATTATCTGCATTCTCTTCTCATTCTTAGGTTTTCGGGGGCTGAAAGAAGGAAAGAAAGAATAAACAGACAAATAAAAGCTAAGAAAAAAAGAGAGGAAAGCGACAGGAAAGAACTTATGAAAATTGGAAAACAGACCAGAAAGAAAGAAACGACGAAAGCCGGAAAGAACGGAAAGAAAGGAGACAAAAAAGAAAGAAATAAACAAAGAAAGAAAGAGAAAACAGACGGAGAGAGAGAGAGAGAGGAAGAGAGAAAGACAGAATCAAAGAAAGAAGAAAAAAAGAAAGCAACAAAGAGAGAGAGAGAGAGAGAGCGAGAGAGGGAGAGAGAGACAGAAACAAAACAGGCAGAGCCAGAGACAAAGAACACAATTAACAAACACAGAAGCATAGAAGTTAGGAGGACCATCCACCCTGTGATCGTGGTATAATAGGAAAATGTAGTACCCTCATATAATCACCATTCTCCCTTATAGTCACTATTACTGGGTGGGTGGGTTTTCAGCGAGTATATCCAGAGAGTATGTACATGGATAGACAGAATCAGAGAGGCAGAGAAGGAGATAAAGCAAAAATGGAAAGAAGGAAACAAGCTTAGAGGGTTTCAGGGCAAAGAAAGGAAGCAAGGAAAGAAAGAACGAAAGGTATAGTGAAAGAAAGAAACAACGCGGAACGAAAGGAAGCAAATAAAGAAAAAACGATACAAATGAAATACATGGAGAATGGCACAAAGAATCAAATAGAAAGAAAGAAACAAGTCAATCAAGAAAGAAGCGTTGGGAGGTTTCAGGGGGTGCGAGGCCTGAGCACGAGAGGGTACACCTTTCCTTCCCTAAACTAACATGGAACCCCATGTTTAGGGTTTAGGTTAGGGGTTTAGGGAATTTAGGGTTTGGGGTCTTCATACACTTCACTTCCATGTTAGTTTGGGGCAGGGTGTGCCGTCTTGTGCTGAAAACCCACGCCCATAAACCCGAAACCCTGAACCGACAGTCCTAAGTAGAAGGTTAGGAGGCTTCCCCTTGCCTCCTAAATTCCCCTTAAAAGCCCTATACTACGCAGCTATATAACCCCCTTTACGGGGTTAAGACTAAAGCTCATGTAACCACTTTTTACAGACAGTGGTCTTTGCACTGCTATTCTCGAGTTCCATGTTAATTTGGGGCAAGGCGTGCCGTCTTGCGCTAATAACTCACAAGGACACATGGTCCACCATGCAATCTTGTCTGCTATTCTTAAACACCCCTTATAAAGTTCATATTCAATCCAGCATTCGGAGCAAAGCCCGCTTTTCCTGCAGCGTATCTTGAAACGATTCGTCTGAAAAGCAAATGTTGTTTGCAAATTGAGGGGGTGCCCCACCCAACCAACCAACCAACCAACCAACCCCCCCACTTTGTGTGTTCACACATTTGGCGGGCTACGCGTCCCAACCCCTTGGCTTTCATTCAGCTGTGCAAGAAACTGGCCGCAGTGATGCATCTCAAAAAACATCCGGCTCACAAGAATGTCATCTGATCATTCTGTTCGCACATGGAGGTTGAGCTGTGCCCCACTCAACCCCCTCCCCTTTTATGCTTGCAAAAGGCGGGGCTGTCCTTGCTTTTGACGGCTCATTTGCGTGAAGTGCAGCATGGACTTCGGTGCTGGCACGAGTTTGGCTGCGTGCTTGTTGCGAAGCCGGTTTCGGCGCGACCCCATGACCATGATGACTGTTATGAGGAGTACTGCTCTTACTATTAAGCTTACTAATACTAGTATGACTATGCTTACTATTGCCATTATGTCTATCATTCCAAATCCATGCATTAAGAGTCGTAGATGGGAAATATCTGAGAGTTTCTCAAAAAGGTCTCTAGATAATCCCCACTAGGGGCCCTGGCAATCTTCTTATGCTTCTTACATATTCCGTGCATCTGGATTGAAACTCTAAACCCCAAAGCCACATTCCTTGGGCTCCTTAAACTAAACCCCTTGCAGGCTTCAGAACCTTTCAGGCCCTCGACAAGCCCATGAGGGCTCTGGAAGGCCTCAAAACCACCACAACCAAAAAATGAGGCCCTCAAAAGATGCATGGGGGTCTGGGAAGGCCGAAACCGAAAACATACAAGAGCAACAAACTTGAGAAAACAAACATTGATTGCATTTGTTCCACCATGTTCCACCAGATTCGGTCGGCTTCGAAAAGACTTGTAAAAGGACAATCTTCTGGGCAAGACCCTGGCGGACACCCCAGAGATTGACACTCCATGCTGGAACCCTAGGCCCCAAGACAATTTGGGGCTTCCCAACATAAGGGGTGCCATTTTGGGGGTCGCCAAAACAAGGGTCATAGTATTTTGGGATCTGTATTAGGGTCTATTTTGGGAAAGTACCATTAGACAGTCTGGCAATGGAAAAAATAACATGCCACAAAGAGGCGCCTTTACTCATACAACAATTCGTTGAGACACGACGACGTGTTGATGCAAAACAGCTGGACGACAAGCTATAAAACTGTAAGTGTCTCCTACGCTGCCACTTTTAACACACCCAGAATGTATGACACCTTGGCCGGATGTATAAGAAAGTGCCCGAACGATGGAGGGACAATGCGAAACAAAGGTATCTTTGAGAAGACAAGAGCGGCACAACAACCTGCAGCTGCAAATGCAGCAAAGCTTCAAAGCCCGCTTCGTCTTGATCTGCAGGTCTTCGCTTGAATCCTGCACATGGAGCTGGACATAGCTGCTCTCTGAGACCAGGTTGCGAACCCCTCACACCAATCAACCACATCAACCACAAGAGCTTATCTATTGAGTAGCTTGCAAGACATGCGCAGGTTAAACCGCTGCCATGAGGTGTGATGTTCCGGAGACGGCAACGGCGGCGGCAGAGGGCGTCTGCGGGGTTGAAAAAATTTGGTATCCTGTCATTGGCAATACTGGTCACAAGCTCCGGGGGCGAGGGGGGCACGGATTCCTGGATTGGGTATTACATCGTGGAGGTGAACCGAAAGCATATGTTGAGGCAGCGCAGCACAAGTTTGAGAATTTGCTGCATGCTTTTTGTAATCCCTTCCCCTAATATAGAGGCCCCTAATACAGAAGCCCCTAACATAGACGCCCCAACCCCCCTAATCTGAAATCTTCCCAGTAGAATCATTTTACCATAATAGGAATATTTGGGGGTTGTCCAATATTCCTTCATCCCGAATTGTGGGCTTGCGCCGTGCTTGCGCGCAGCTTGCGCGAGCTTGCACACCCACAGTTTGGCTCACAATGATTTTCGCGCAGGTTCATCACATTAAAACTAATATCACGAGCGTATTCGAACGCTTGCGCCAACCTTGCGCCGTGCTTGCGCGGAGCTTGCGCGGAGCTTGTGCGCGCTGGGCTTTTGAAATCATGTTATACTGGGTTTTCGTTGATTTAAAATCATAGACAAGGCTTTTTGGACATTAGGTGGGGGCGGGGAGTTTTAGTAGGGGAGCTTGCTCGGTACACACTTGAGGATCTGCAAGCAGCAAAAGCTCAACATGCTAAAGGTCAAGCTAGGGTTCAGGATTTAGAGTTTAGGGATTGAGGTGTAGGAATCAAGCTTGACTCAACACCTTGACGCATGAAACGTATGCAGGACACGCAACAAACCTAAACCCTAAACCCTAAACCCTAAACCCTAAGCCCTCAACCGTAGCCTTCATCTCAAGCCTTCATTGCTGTCGTCCCTGCATTGCAACATTTGACACATGGGTGGTTGTCAAATTAGGGTTTAGGGTTAAGGGTTTAGGGTTTAGGGCAAAATTATGATCCCTTTTTGGGTGCCCTAAATATAGGGATTATAGGGGCTATATTGGGGTTCTATGGGGATAATGGAAAAGAAAATGGTAACTACTCTATTGGGGTTATATATACCCTATTTCTCCATTTTTGGGTACCCTAAATATTCGGTGCCGTATTATGATAGGGATCCAAAAAGGGACCATAATTTTGACAACATTTGGCACATGGAAGAGGTCCTGGTGGAGATAAACTGCCAGCATCCTGCAACAACAGATTGGGCTCCAATTGTACTAATTGTGGCAAGACTCGTGAAAGCCAACCCTTTGCAAACCCTAATCCCTAAAACCCTAAACTGCAGCCACGAGCATGCGCGCGCTGATCCAATGCCTTCGCAGAACATCTGCCTCTGCCAGAGCCCGGGCGTGATCCGGTGAGTGGCGGCCTCTGTACCCCTAAATAGGGTTTAGGGTTAAGGGTTTAAGTTTAAGGGCTTAGGGTCAAGGGTCTAGGCTCTTGTTCCGATTTCTGAGACCAAACACTTCTCCAAAATCGGGCACCCTGCCTATCTGCCCCAACGACCAGGCAGCAGCTGCCTTCACGTGATCCTCTCAAAACACAAACATCCTTTCGCCTAAAGCTCACATGAAAGGTCAGGATTTCAGGTTTACGGTTTAGGATTTTGGGTTTAGGGTTCAGGGCTTAGGGAGGCTGAGTAAGTATACGTATAACCCCTATAACCCAAAAAGAACAGTCATCCCCGTTATCAATCTACTTGTTAAGCCCATGGCCCCCCAAGTAAACCCTAAACAGTAGCTTCCATGTTCTTCTCCATGCCTCCCATATAAACTCTGTATATTTGTATTCTTATTCCCATGAGCCACCTTACATATTCCATGTCTTTCCATTCTTCTTATATAACCCTTACACAAAAGAGAGAGAGAGAGAGAGAGAGAGAGAGAGAGAGGGATGTATACCTATGCAACCCTTACATACCTTCTTAATCCCCCAAACCCTAGAGCCTAAAGTCTATACATATATATATATATAGAAATGTGAATATATATATATATACATATATCCTTCAATTCTGTTGCTCCTCCGGCTCGCTGATGAGAGCATCTTTCAGTGGACGAACTCCCTTGGACACTACCTCAGAGCGGCAAGCTTGCGGCTTTAGGGTTTAGGGTTTAGGATTTGGGGTCTGGGGTCTGGGGTTTGGGGTTTAGGGTTTAGGGGTTTAGGGTTTGGGGTTTAGGGTTTAGGTTTGGGGTTTGGGGTTTAAGACATAGTATGTAGGGCTATATAGGATATAGAGTTTATATAAGGCTTATGTATGTATGGAGAGTTTATACAGGGGCTATATAAAGCAGGAATGCAAAAGAAAGTGGAAGCTACTGCTTAGGGTTTAGGGTTTAGGGATATAAAGCGCAATCTCGCTGAAGCCGAAGAATTCAGCTAATCCGCAACTGCCAAAGCCAGCGTCTCGGAAAAAGCCGCCACATAACCTGGGCTCACATGAGAACCCAAAACCCAAAACCCTAGAGCCTAAGCCTTAAACCCTACGCCCTTACTATCTGAGATATAGTCTAACCTCCAAGTATCAGCCTTACTAAGCCCCAGAATAGTCCCCTATAAACCACTATGTAACCCCCTTTAAGGAGTTTAGACTATCGCTCACATGCTATCCGCTCCTTCGGGACTTCCTTACGCCTTCGATCGCCTTTGTTTGCTTTTTGTGGCTATGTAATTCACACCCGAAAACAACCTCTTCGCCACCTCCCTGTCTCCCATAAACTTTTTTCCGCAGACATGCTGACAAGCCAGGGAGAAAGGCGCCCAGGAAAGACCATGCGGGTGCACGTGCAGAAGATTCCTAACCCCAAACCAACCCTAAATTCCGAGATTAAAAGGAAGCGTTTTGCATCTTTTCAGCTGTCTTTGCCATGTCAGCTGCTTCGGAGCCGGCATGGAGACAGGGGTATATGGGGTTTCCATAGGGGTAGATAGGGACTCTTTGGGGGTATAGGGATTACACAAGGGAATAGAAGGACTATGTAGGGATCGTGCCCCAATGATGGAGAATCACATGAAAAGAACATCGAAAATGAAATAGAAACTGAAGTCGCGCAGGGGTTATACCACCGTAATAAGCGATCAAGTGAGTGAACAATAGGATTGCGTAGCGGCATGTGGGCTATAGTCCAAAATCCTAATATCCCTCAATAACCCCTGTAATACTCATCCCCTCTATAACCCCCCTTTTAGGAGTTTAGACCCTAAAACCTAAACCCTAAACCCTACGACTATAACTCGCGTAGAGATGGTAATTCCCCAAAATAGGGGGACCCCGATATAGACCCCAAAATATTATAATCCTTATTATTGGGACCCCCAAAAAGGTACTCCTAATTTTGGGAAACCCTATAAACCCTAAACCTTATATATCCCCTATATAACCCCTATATTATCCCTATCATCCCCTTTTAAAGGTACCCCTAATTTTGGGAAACCCCCAGATTCATGCAGACTGAAAGGCTCCTGAAAGCCGTCTCTCCGCACGATACGACACGCAGGGATCACCAAGGCAAATTGCATGACACGGTTTGGGGCTTAGGGTTCTGGGTTTCTGTTTTGCCCTAATATGTATATATATATATACCTATACAAACCCAGTTTCCATTTAGTCGTTCACGTTCTTTTCCGTTTGATTCTCCAGCATTGGGTTCTACAAGCTGCACTCGGTTGTTAGAACCATTTTGGGGTAGCAGACAGTGCCTGCAGAAGGTCCTCAACGGACCCCAGATAGAGCACAACAACTAGTAGTTTCCCCAAATAAGGGGAC